GATCTGTTTCCTGTGACGTGTCATCACAGTTCAGTAGAGCTGGTTTCCTTCTAGTCCTACATGTGCACCTTCTGAGGACGGCTCAGGGCGAGAGAAAGGTTAAGAGCCCAGCCCTGGCCTAGCAAAGGCAGCTCAGTGGCTCCCTGCTCCTTGCTGGGCGGGAAACGCTACGGTTCAGTTCCTGTTATTTGTGCTATGGTCTGAGGGGGAGACACCTCACACATGGTCTCCAGTGACCTGGGGGGTAGCCAGCGCTCCGTGCGCCCACATCCATCCTGGTCCACCTATTTCCAGGCTGACTCTGATGAGGTGGGCTGTTGACTCCTGAAGTCAATTTTTCATTGTTGGATTAGGGTCGCTGACCTTCAGTCTTTTGCAGGGCAAGAATTGCTTCTCACTGAAAGCAACTTGAAACACACGAACTAAGAAAGAAGAAGGGCATGGACACACACAAACCAGGGGCTGGAAAGGCAGGTGTGGTCCTGCCAGGACCTCGGCGAGCAGGACCCTCTGAGCTCAGGCCCCGCTGGCCTCCAGCTCCTCCCAGCTTTTGCGCGTGATGCCTAGGACAGCCTCTGAGTGTCTCTGTTGCATCCCAGAGAGGGTGGTTCCCGATGATAAACGTTGATTTCATTTGATCAACCATCATCTGTGTTGAGAAAACCTGTATGTCACTCAGCCCTGTTTGCGTATTGCTGTATGTTATTCATTTTCACTGCTATCCAATGTTGCATGATGTGAAAATCCCACAATCCATGTCTTCATTCCCTTGCAGGTAAACAGTTGGGTTTCCCCAGTTGTTGTGATGATGAACAGTTCTGCTCTGGACGTTCTTGCATGGGTCTCCCCGTGCACACATGGAGGACTTTGTCTAGGGGAATTCTCTAGGATGCAATTGCTGGTTTGTAAGGGTATAAACATGGGTACCTTTCAAGGTAATGCCAAATTATTTTCCACAGTGCTTGTGCCAGTGCACACTTCCACTAGTGATGTGTGAGTTCCTCTTGATCAGACTCTATCCAACAACTGTTGGTGTTGTCAAACTTGTTGGTTTTCACCAATGTGGGAGGTGTAAAATGCCTTCACACTGGGGTTTTACTCTTCGGTTCCCTGATTCCTACGGAGGCTGAGTGCCTGTGGTAGGCATCCTCTAGGATGACCCCCATGGTCTCATCCCCATGTTCACACCCTCTGTGATCTCTCCTCCTGGAGGGTGGGCTGGCCCAGGGCTCACCTCTTTTTTTTTTTAAGATTTTATTTTTTCCTTTTTCTCCCCAAAGCCCCCCGGTACACAGTTGTATATTCTAGTTGCAGGTCCCTCTGGTTGTGCTGTGTGGGACGCCACCTCAGCATGGCCTGATGAGCGGTGCCATGTCTGTGCCCAGGATCCAAACCAGTGAAACCCTGGGCCGCCTAAGCGGAGTGTGCGAACTCAACCACTCGCCCATGGGGCTCACTTCTAATGAATGCCACACAGCAAGCGTGAAGGGAGGCTGTTTCTGAGATGAGCTTACAGAAAGACTCGGCTTCCTTCTTGGGTGTTCTCTCACTGCTGAAAGCCAGGTGCCAGCTTGCGAGCAGCCCTGAGGGAGGCCCACGTCAGGCAAGGGACCAAGGGAGGCTTTCCGCCAGCAGCCACAGGAACCCCGTGAGTGCGCTTAGAAGCAGGTCGTGCAGCCCTGGTCGAGCCTTCAGTGAGCCTGCGGGCCCTGCTACCATCATGGCGGCAGCCGGCAGCCGCGTGAGAGACCCGAGCCAGAGGCAGCCGGCAGGGCAGAAACTGTGAGGTCACAAGCGTGCTTTGGTTTTAAGCTGCTGGCTGTGGGGTGATTTATTTTAGGGCCGTAAGTAGCTAATATAGCAGCCTTTCTTGTCCTGATTGGTCATTTAGAAATTTTCTTTGATGTGTTTTTGCCTATATTTCCTATCCACTTGGAGGAATTCTTTATGTATCCTGGATATTAACCGTTTGTCGTGTCTTAACTCTCTTCTCCCAGGTTGTTGCTTGTCGTTTCACTTTATAGTGTATTGTCAGGAAACAAAAGTTCTTAATTTAGCCAATTGAGTCTGTTTTGTCCATGTTTTCTTTTGTGGGTAGTGCTTTTTGGGTGCTTTTTGGGTTCGAAGATCAGAAAGACACTCTCTTACACGTTTCGGTTTCACAGTGGAGTGCTGCCGTGTGGCCGACTCTTCACTGCGTGTGGCTTGTGTGGTGACAGCAGTGCTTTCTCAAGGGTTGTGGTGGAGGTGTGTTGAGCTGATGATGTGAAATGCTCGCTCAGACCCTGCGTGGTTCACAGGAAGTGCCCTGTGATGTTACTGAGGGCTCTGTCTCGAATTGTTTTAGAGATTTTGATTTACTTGTTTCTGTTTTTTAAGCAGGTGGAACCTTAGCAAGGTTCCCTAAGTTGTAACTGTTTAAGAAGGTGCATCTAGGGGGCCGGCCCCGTGGCGGAGTCGTTAAGTCCGCTTTTTCCTAGTGGCGATAACGACTCTCCTGGCACTGTAGACTGAGAGGCCTTCTTTCTTCCCTGGTCAACACCACCGCCCTGTCAGACCTCCAGATTCCACTTACGTGTAGCCCTGCTTCTGGGCCCTGTGTTCTTCTTCATTTGCGTATTTGTCTGTCTGCACTGGCACATCGCATGCCCTGAACATCCTCTGATCTTGACAGGCAGGTCCCCCTCCCCCACTTTCTCCTCCTTTGAGGAAGTGTTGCTTATCTTTTACCCTTTGCGCTTCCACAACGTTCCTTTGTAATTAACACGGGCCTTGTGGGAATACCACTATCCTGTTATGTCTGAACTTTCTCCCAGCAGCTTTAACGTCTGCTGGTGACTCTTGCCCGAGTTGGTTGTTAGTCTGATTACAGTGGTGGTTGCCAAATGGTGATTTTTCCAACTCCCTCGTGCCTTTGGCCTTGGGCAGTTGACTTTGTACCTCCAAAAAGAGTTTCCTCTTCTTCCTCGCTTGCCCTCACTGTGGGCATGGGGCCTTATTTTGCTCAGTGGTTCTAACCCATTACTGAGGCATCATTCACTTTCCCTCTCCAGTTGCCCCGGATTCCACTCGAGGGCGTTCCCTCAGCTTGCTCCTGTGTCCTTTTACCTGTCCCCATCATTCTTTGAGCAGTTCTTTTCTTTCTGGCCCAGCTAATGCCCCAGCCCTAGAATCGGCCATTCCCTCCCAGGAGCTGGTTCGTTCGGTGGAGAGTGACATTGAGAAGCAACATCAGGGCGGTGGGTGCACTCATTGCCATTGGGGTGTTTTTGCCACCAGACCCCTCGGTGGACAAAGTTGTGAGATACAGAAATAGAAGTGCTGTGCACAAGCGCGGTGTGCCTGCCTCCCTCTATCCGTCTGTCCATCTCTGTCAAAACCATGAGTTCTGACACCTGACACCTCCAGGCAGGCCCGCACCGCAGGACTCATTTTCTCCTCCCTCCTTTCTGTATGTTACTGTCTTCGCGGACAGTAACAAATCTCGCTCCTGTTATCTACAGCATAGTCACTTATTTGTTCAATCCAGAACTCCTAACCTGTGACTCCTGCCACTGAGAGGTCAGTCTGTTGAGAGCTCTTTCGTTTTGTCTCTGATCTGAGCACCTGCGTCCTAGATGCTGTGTGGGAAGTTAGTTGGGTTGATTCTTCTTCTCTTTTCGCTGTGATTTGATTATTCATTTGATTTACAGTTTGGTTCAAACATTTCTGTTTGTATGCGTTTTAGAGATTTTGATTTACTTGTTTCTGTTTTTTAAGCAGGTGGAACGTTAGCAAGCTTCCCTAAGTTGTAACTGTTTAAGAAGGTGCATCTAGGGGGCCGGCCCCGTGGCCGAGTCGTTAAGTCCGCTGCGGTGGCCCAGGATTTCGCTGGTTCGAATCCTGGGCGCAGGCATGGCACTGCTCATCAGGCCATGCTGAGGTGGCATCCCACATGCCACAACTAGAAGGACCCACAACTAAGAATATGCAACTATGTACCGGGAGGCTTTGGGGAGAAAAAGGAAAAATAAAATAAAATCTTTAAAAAAAAAAAAGAAGGTGCGTCTGCTGCTGTCTTGGGGTCGTTCCCACCTCCTTCACGCCCTCCCTCTGGCCCTTAGGGGCGGCCTCGTTAGCCTCGGGCTGGCCCTCCCCACGTCTCAGTCTGCTCCGTGTGATTTTGGTATTGCTGTCGGGTGGGCGATCTGTGCTTTGTGCCTGGGTGCATGACGATCTTCTCTTTGATGTCTTGTGGTTTCATCATAATGTGTGTTCATGTGGGTTTCTTTTGATTTAGTCTACTTAGGATATGTTGGGATTCCAAAACTCATATTTTCCATCAGTTCTCGAAATTTTGCCTTCTTTACCTCTTTAAGATTGGCACCTGAGCTAACATCTGTTGCCGATCTTCTTTTTTTTTTCGTCTTCTTCTTCTCCTTCCCAAAGCCTTCCAGTACATAGCTGTATATTCTAGTTGTAGGCCCTTCTGATTGTGGCATGTGGAACGCTGCCTCAGCATGGCCTGATGAGTGGTGCTAGGTCTGTGCCCAGGATCCAAACCGCGAAACCCTGGGCTGCCAAAGCAGAGCGCGCAAACTTAACCACTTTGCCATCGGGTGGCCCCTTTACGTCTTTAAATAGCCTGCTTTCTCTCTTTTTTCCTGCTGGAACTTGTATTCTCATTGTTTCCTCCATATTTTGGTTACTGTCTCTTTGATATTTTAGTCTCATGTCTCTGTGCTGCATTCTAGATAATTCCCGCAGACATTTTTTCAAATGCAATAACTTTATTCAGCTCTGCCTTTTCTGTTTAACCCATCAGTTGAGTTGGGGTGTGGTTTTTTTTGCTGGGAAAGATTTGCTCTGAGCTAATATCTGTTACCAATCTTCCTCTTTTCTTTTTCCTCCCCAAAGCCCCAATGTGTGGTTGTACATCCTAGTTGTAAGTCCTGATTCTTCTATGTGAGCTGCCACCACAGCATGGCTGCTGAGGGACAGGTGGTGTGGTTCTGCACCTGGGAAGTGAATCCGGGCTGCCAAAGCAGAGTGTGTCGAACTTTAACCACTAGGCCATTGGGGCTGGCTCCACCAAGTTGATTTTTATTTCAAAATTTTCCAACTTCTATTTTGAGAAACTCGTAGCCTTGCAGGAGATTTGCAGAAGTTTCCATCCAGTGTCTCCGAGCCTCCACGGTGCTGACATCTCACGTGATCTCAGTAGGTTTAGCGCAGTGGTACAGTAGGATTGTGCCGAATCCAAACGTCGATACAAGACTGTCAGCTCATCCACAGACCAATTCACCTTTGGGCTGTAGCTGACTTGTGTCCCTCTTCTGGAGTTTGATCCCATCTGGTGCCTCACATTGGTCAGGTGGTCTTGTCCCCTTGGTCTCGTCCAATCCTTGAGTTTTGTGACCTGCATCCCTTTGGATTTGTCTGGCATTTTCTCAGTTAGGTTTGTGGTTGTGATTGTGGCAGGAGAACCACAGGAGCGATGACCTGCTCTTCTCTGTGCCTCAGACCGGGGGGGACACGGTGTGTGTCTGTCTCATTTCTGGTGATTCCAACTTTGACCACTTGCTTGGGTGATGTCTGCAGTTTCTCCACAGTAAAGTCGTGTGTCTCCCTCTGTCATTAGTAGACACAGAAACTCTGCAAAGACCTCATGGAATTTTCTCTCAGCAGTTGTACGGTTCATCTCTAGACATTCCCGGTGGCTTCTTTGTCCACACCACTGCATGCTGTGCATCTGAGAGCTCCAGGACCTCATCCTGGGCTCCAGCTGTCCCTCCCTGGAGCTGCCAGGTGGCAGCTTCTCCCCCACTGGCCGCCTCTCAAGGGGTGGGGCTGATCTTTGATCTTTGATCCTCGTCCATTGATACTCATTTGCAAAGGTCCTCCAGCCTGAATGGCGGAAGCTTTTCTCCAGTGTAGATTACTTCTCCTTCAGGTGGCGATCTTCGGCTGGGGCCACTTCCGCCTCTGTAGGGGGTGGCTCAAAGCAGGACCCCTGCCACCTCGAGCTCCCCATGCTGCTTGTTGAGGGGTCCTCGGAGCCCCTCACATTTCTTCCCATCCCAACTTGGAGCTTCCTGGGAGCCTGTCTGCCCCCAGCATGAATCCAGAGGCCCCTGGTGAGATTTTCTCTTCTGCTGCCCCGCTCTTGGCTCCCGGGGCCCTTCGTGGTTATTTTTACAGTCACATCTCCTTGTCCGTGCACATTTCATTGCTTACCTCTCCCAGGGTCTCAGCCGTGTCTCTCTCTCCGAGCTCTCTTCCTGCAGCCTTGTTTTCTCTTCTTCCTCTTTGCTTCGTTTCTCCAGTTCCCTGCCTGCACTCCTCTCCCAGTGGGCGCTGAGGTTGACCAGAGGCTCTGCCTCTGCTCAGCTGTGTCCTCTGTCGAGGCCTTTTCCTGGGGCCCCGATATTCCTGCTCAAGGTCTGTCCTTTGCCTGTTGAACTCCCCAGAGAAGCTCCTTCTGGCCTCCTGCCTGGAGGGCCATGGCCAGGCCCCTCTCGTCCTCAGTGTCTGCTTTCCTGCTGGCTCTCAGCCTCCATCACAGCCCAGGGCCTCGCGCAGCCCGGTCTGCAGCTGCTGCTCCTGCGCTGCTTCCTCCTTATTCCAGCCCCTCGGCCCCACCCCACCCCTCACCCCGGGAGTCCCAGAGGAGTCTGGAGCGCGCTTTCTGCTCTCCAGGCCTCGGCCCCTCTGTGGCCAGCTTTGACATTCTTGCCTCCTCACCTCTCTCTCCTCCCACGTGGGTTTGTGTTAACTCAACAAAGTCAAGCAGACAGCTCAGATACCTGGATGTGATTTAGTGAGCTTTGTAGGGAAGGAGCTAAATGGCACCAACATCATCTGCACCTGGGGTCCATATTCTTTTCCCTTTTTTTGGTGAGGAAGATTGGCCCTGAGCTAACATCTATGCCTCTTCCTCTATTGTGTATGTGGGATGCCCCCACAGCATGAGTGATGAGTGGTGCGTAGGTCTGCACCCAGGATCTGAACCTGTGAACCCCAGGCCACTGAGGCAGAGCACATGAACTTAACCACTAGGCAACCGGGCCAGCTCCTACTTTCATTTTTTAAGATGTTCAAAGCCCTGCTTTGACTCCAGAGGCATTTGGACTTGATACAGAAGCTGTGTGCACTCAGAGGGCCCCTGTCCCCTCCAGTGGCCCAGGAAGAGCGGTTTCCTTGGCTGGGTGCAGAGGCCAAGTGGGGCCTCCCTGCTCCTGGGCTCCCAGCCATTGCATCGCTCCTTTACCAGACTGGGCTGTTTGTGCAGATTCGATGGTCACAAGGTTGTGCCCTGGAGGGCGAGTGTTTCGTGGTGGCCAGAGCGTTCGTCCTGGGCTTCCTGGACCCTGCTCTGGTTGAGAGTGGACACAGCATTGGTCTGTTGACGGAGCCCATGAGTGGCTGGGCATCTGGGTCCCCGGCACCTGCTGTGTTCTGCTCTGGAAGCCCAGTCTCTGGCTCCCTGTGCATGGGAGGAGGGCAGCGCAGCGCCACCTGACCAGAAACTTCCCAGGGCACAGGTCAGACCCGACCCCTGAGGGGCCAGCCGTTGGGAGGCTAGCCCAGGTCACCCAGGAAGCACTCACTCTGAAGTTGGGTCTTGGGGCCAGGGAAGGACGGGCCGGCAATTGGACCTGCTACCAGTGCTGCCCACCCGCCCTCCGGCCACTCCCTCCGTCCAACACTGGCCGTTGATCCAGCCTGAAATCGGAATCCATAATGAAAACGAAGGTTTAGCTCCAACTGTGTGGGCTCTGGTCTAAACAGGCGTCTGTAGATCTGGGGGCGCACGTGTGGCTCGACAGGGCCCCTGAGGACCCGGGAGAGGCTGTGCTTCTGACAACGGACTTTGCTCAAGGGACACGGGATGCTTTCCGTGTGTAAATCTCAAGCTTGCAGGACAGTGTGGAAATAACACGGTGCCTGCCCACGCACATCCCGTGCTGTGTGACATGTTTTTGCTTTTCCTCTGGGCCCTGTCCCTGGTCCTGTTGGTCCTCCACGAGATAACCGCGGCCTTGACTTCTCTGTTCTTCACTCATTTTCAAGACTTTTTATGTTTTTTTCCTAAACAGTAAGTAGTGTTTTGGCATATTTAACAGCTCTTTGTGGAACCGTATTGTGTGTCTCCCCACTGCCGGACCCCCCTCCACCGACTCAGCCTTGTTGTGTTGTTGCTGCGGCAGCTGTAAAATTTCCCCGTTGGCTCGTGAGGCCGAGGCCCCTCTGACTGCCTGGGGTCCAGCCCCACGAGCAGACTGGTGCTTGTTCCTCCCGTGGAAAGGCATTCAGGTTGTGCTTTGCTACTAACAAAAATGCTGCAGGAAAGACCTCCCGAAGCGGGTTTTGGTGAGAGTTGAAGCGCCCAAGTCCCCAGGCCATCAACTCTCTTCCTGCTTCAGCCTTGGCCAAGTGCTATGGTTTCTCTCTCGTTCCCTGTCACTCTCAGTGACTCCTGAAAGGTCACATCCGAGAGTTTCGATCGGAATCTATTTGCATTTGTGTTGTCGGCTGTTTCCAACAGTCAGTGGGGACAGTCGGTGACAGTAACAGAACTGTGAGTGCCTCGGCGGGGCAGTTCCAGCTTGGCGGCTCCCCGCTTGGTCACACTTGAGCATCAGCCAAGGGGCAAAAGGTCACTGAGGCAACGAGGTACTCGGACTTCCCCCGCAGTTCTCTGGCCTCACTGGTCCAGGCAGAGCTGGACACCTGTCTGTCTGTCTGAGCTCGGGGTGTTTGCGTGCAGCTGCACCGAGGACCCCTGCCAGTCCAGGCAGGGAGGAAGGTGAGACCCTGCTTCCTTGTACGGCCGTGCCTCCGCAAGGACAGTTCACAGCGTTACCGCCCTGTGGCACCAGAGGGGGCAGGAAAACGAACGTTTTGAACCCGAGCTTCGTCTTGCATCTGGTGGAGGAGGGATGGTGGGTTGCCGGCTGGGCCTGTAGCACCTGCCTTTGCTCTTTGTGGTGTTTTTTGGTGCCGTGGGTACATCTTGAGCGTCAACTCCTTGCCCTGCAAACAGGTTTGGTTTTCGAAACTCGGTGGTGGCTGTGGGGTACGTGTGACAAACACCATGACAGAGTCCTCGAGGAGAGGGACCTGATGCTGTTGGGGGCCTCGGAATTAGAGTTGGGCCCTGACGAGGAGCTTTCCTGGGAAGGTAGAGCCCACACCCAGTGGTGCTTGTGTCCTGGAGGTGGGAGGGAGCAGGGAGAGAGGGCAGGGGTGCAAGGCCCCAGGCAGGTGGGGGTGCGGCCAGTCTAGGAGAGGGCCCGGCAGGAGGCCAGGATGCTGGGCATCCACAGACAGCATTGGTTGGCTCCTGTGGTAAGGAGCCCAGGAGGCACAGTCTGGGACCCAGGGGCCCTCGGGTGGGGTGCTCTCTCTCTGCTCTTAGGGACCCTGCACCATAGCAGTGGGCTTTGTTCCTGCATTTCACCTCCACTTGCAGCCAGGCCCCTGTCCCTGGCAGTGGGGGCTGGGGTTGGAGCATAGATTCCCCACATCTCCAACTCAGGGCGCAGCCAGTCCAGCTGCAGGGGATTCCCGAGCCCGCAGAGGTTTTGCTCCTAGCATGTTGTTGCCCCGAACAAGACAGTAGGACTGGGCTGGAGAAGAATAAGAAGGAAGTGGGCATTTTAGTGGAGACCTGGTGCTGTGGCCCAAGGAGCTCAAGAGCTTGCGGGTATCCCGGGGACAGTAAGCCCGTGGGAGGGCCGGGCGCACACCCATTGTGGTCTGGGGAGGCTGCCCTGCTGTGCTGAGGGTCAGGGTGCAGATGGGTGGCATGGAGGAGCTGAGGGTGCTCCCTGGGACCTCATGGTGCTGAGCTAGTGTGTGACTGGGCAGACCGAGAGCACCAGATGGACAGGCGGGTGGACACTGGGGGCCGAGGGAGGGCAGGAGGGCACTCAGCGCGTCTGGGGCTGCGTCACCTGGGCGCACGGCTGGAGCCAGGTTCCTGGTGTGGGGAAGCCACAAGTGCAGTGTGGACCACTTGGGTTTGAGGGACCTCTAAGCTCTTGTAGGCAGATGAGCAGGAAGCAGTGGGGTGGGCAGCCTGAGCTCCTAGGGGAGCTCGGCCAGGAGGTGACAGCATGTGTCCCTGTTGAGTGCCGGCAGGCGGGAGAGGAGCACAACCCCCTGGAGTGTGGTGCAGCTAGCTCAACACCCAAATACCTCCTGCTCTGCACGCCTGGAAATTAGGGATAAGATATAATAGGCGTCATTTCAGATGTATGACTGAGCTCTGCATAACACAAGGAAACCTCAGATGTCAGAAACTGGGGAGGAATAGGCAGTCCGAGTGGCCAGCCCATGTGAGGCTGCCTGGGCAGGGTGGTGGCGGCCCAGGGACTTGGATGTGACATCCCTGGGGAAGGAGGTCGGACCCTGGCCCTCCTGAGATGGCACAGGCAGTTGTCACTGAGAACCTTGAAAAATTTGCCTCCCAGCACAGGAGAAAGACCAGTCCTGACTTATGAGGGAAATCACGACCATGGGCCGGAGTACCAGGCGGGCATGAGTTTGGTGTGTTGAGGGTTTGTCCAGAAAGCATAAAGTCGGTCCTGGGCTGGTGACACCGCTGGGGCCCCTGGCAGAGGCAGACCCAAGCCTGTTTAAAGGCGCACCCTCAACTCGAGAAGGAGCTCCCTCGGCCCGGGTGCACAGGGCCCCAGGTCTCAGGTCCTGCTGAAGGCGGTGATGACACGCACCAGGAACTGTCCACCACGAGCCAGTGGCACCCGACGCACGCAGGAAGCAGGGTCACACTGCGGAGGTCTTTGGGTGATCAACTGTCAGAGACAGTAAAATAGAAGATGGAAAGAAGACATCAGAAAGTTAAGGAAAGAACAAGATGCTGTGAGAAAAACAGGCCAATTTGAAATGGAACCAAGCAGAACGTCCATAAATGAAAAGTACCGTGATTGAAGTTTAAAACCCAATGGGTGGGTTTTAACTCAGTGTCTGACAGTGGGAGCTCAGTCCTCCTGTGAAGAACAGCGCAAGGGTCCGCCCCGCGGCCAAATGATTAAGTTCACGCACTCCTCTTCGGCGGTCCAGGGTTTCGCCCATTCGGATCCTGGGCGTGGACCTAGCACCGCTCATCAGGCCACGCTGAGGCAGGTCCCACACGCCACAACTAGAAGGACACACAGCTAGAATATACAACTATGTACTGGGGGGCTTTGAGGAGAAGGAAAAATAAAATAAAAAGAACTCAAAATGCTGGGTAAAATATTAAAGTCAGTTAGGGCCTGGGAAAGCCCAGCCTGAAAAGCTTTTAGGGGACAAGATCCATAAGGGGAGAGGCCCAGGGTGGTGGCCCGTCTCCTCCGTGGCTTCCACTGGTTGCAGAATGGGTAGGAAGGTGCAGAGCACTTCTGACTGCCTCAGGTAGCAGGTGGCACAGACCTCAGGCCTGGGCTGAACTGAACCAGCCTCAGGGGCCAGGGGTCTTAGGACGACAAGACAGGGCCAGTGAGGGGAAGGCAGCCAACAGGATGGGGCACCACGGCCAGGGCTGCCTGCATCCTGGGTGTTGGACTAACACAGACAAGGAAATGAGGCTGAAATTCCATGTATGCATTTTTCAAGTTATGTTAAATTGGTGCTTAAAACTTGGTGGATGTTGACACCTTCATAGTCAGAACTAACGCCCTTGCTTTTCCAACTGTTTCAGCCTGCACCCCACACTTTGCTGGGAGAGGCATGCCCACTGGGATCGCCGCTGCCCTCCCTCCTGGGGTCCCTGCACCTGGGGAGGCAGAGTGACCCGTGCCAGCCGCTGTCCTTGAGATAAAGGCTTTCCACTTGCTGTGGTAGCAGCATGTCTGTGTCTGCAAAACCTCAAGCAGCGGCAGAGCTCACCCCTGGCCCCAAGGAGAAGCCCAGGGGAAAGCCACTCCTCCCCTGGGACTCTCTCTTCAGCCACCGAAGTGAGAAGATTGTCTTCACCAAGAGTGACAGTGTCCCCGAGGAGAACGTGCTCACCATCACCATCACGGAGACCACCGTCATCGAGTCAGACCTGGGCATATGGAGCTCCCGCGCCCTGTTCCACCTCACGCTCTGGTTCTTCTTCAGCTTCTGCACTCTCTTCCTCAACAAGTACATCCTGTCCTTGCTGGAGGGGGAGCCCAGCATGCTAGGTAACGCAGGCCCTGGTCCCGGGTGAGAGCCCAGCATGCTGGGTAACGCGGGCCCTGGTCCCGGGTGAGAGCCCAGCATGCTGGGTAACGCGGGCCCTGGTCCCAGGTGAGAGCCCAGCACGCTAGGTAAAGCAGGCCCTGGTCCCGGGTGAGAGCTCGGGGTGCCTGCGAGCCACAGGGCAGTGCGTTATGTGTGGTAAGCACAAGGAAGAGCCAGTGGCCCCAGGAGGGAAGAGGAAAGCTGGGGGGGTAAGGGCACCTTGGGAATGTGGAATGGCGTGTTCTGTCTACTTCTGCGCTAGGAAGGGAAATAATTCTCTTTTTCAGTTTGGCCTCTTCATCTCCTTCTTTCAGGTGCTGTGCAAATGCTGTCAACTACATTTATTGGATGTATTAAAATATTTGTTCCTTGCTGTTTATATCAGCACAAAACCCGGCTTTCTTATCCACCCAATTTCATCATGATCATGCTGTTTGTGGGTCTAATGAGGTAAGGAATTGGAGGTTTTTGGTTGAGTGTCTGAGTTTTTTGTGTATAAAATGTCTTACCCATCACTAAGAATGGGAAATCAACTGACTGACATCATAATTCACTGATCATAGGTGTGTTTTCAGTGCAAACTTTATAAAATTGTGAGACTATGTAGATTTTAGGACAACAAATATATTTGGTTTTGTGGCTTTAATGCACATACATTTGATCAGATTCTTTCTGGAACAGCCATGAAACCAATTTAATGATGGTTTAAGGGTAACGTGCCTCCTTCTCCCTGGGGCAGACGCTCTGGTGATGCTGGAGAAACAGAAGTCTCTGCAGGTGGGGTGGAAAGGCCATTTCCTGAAGGGCCTGGCCCGGAGGAAGTGGCCAGGAGGGCCACTGAGTGGGGCGGGTTGGAGAATGACAGGGGGAGGGGAGAGGCAGCGGGGTCGGGAGTCAATGTGCCTGTGGCCGGGCCAGCTCCCTGAAGGGTCTGTCTGTCCTGCAGACGGTCTGACCATCCTAACGCTCCTGTCGGCTTCCCGGTAGGTTCGCCACAGTGGTGTTGGGTCTGGTCAGCCTGAAAAACGTGGCGGTTTCGTTCGCTGAGACTGTGAAGAGCTCTGCCCCCATTTTCACTGTGATCATGTCCCGCATGATCCTTGGCGAGTACACTGGTGAGTGGCCCCTGTGCCTGGCCCCCCCGGGCGGCGATGCCGTCACTTCTCACACCTTTCGGGGTCACAGGCTGCCTCTCACTGGCTTCAGGTGTCTTTCTCCTTTGCTCCGTGGAGGAGGAGGAGCTGGTAAAGAAGTAATGACCTACCTCAGGGGCCATCCCTTGTCCCAGGAGGATAAGACTGTCTTCCTTGCCGTGTGAAGTGGCACCTGGTGACGGGACGGCTCAGTCCTGGTGGTGCAGCCCCTCGTCCCGGAGCCTTTCCTACATCCTGCCCGCCCTGTGAGCGCCTCCTCCCCGTCTGGTCCTGCTCCTCACTGCTTTCAGCTGCACCTCTCCGTCCCCCCCAAGGGTCAGCAAATGGGATCTATTTTCAAATCTCCAACCTTTGACGACAGGCCGACTCCTTCCAGCTAGCCACACGTTACACTCACGTCCCTGTTTCTCCTTCCAACCTTTATAAAAAGGAGCATATCCGGTATTGTTCCATGAAAACAAGCAAAGCGCAGAATAATGCATATAATAGGTAATCTTTTTTCTGTGATGAGCACTAATAGACATAGATATGTATTCGCTTCAATTAAGAAAATGGCAAGATCTTAAAATAAGGCAACTATGTGCCGTAGAGGGAGGGGGGGAATTGCTGGGGGACAAGGACACAACTGGCCTTCTCACAGATGTGCCTGTGGAGCCACGCAGACGCTTTAGCTGATGGTAAAGCAAAATCAAGTCAAAGTGCAGAAAGCCATTCCTAAAAATCGTGAGCTACATGAAACAAATGAACCTGATTGCACGTCAAGCTGGTAGCTTAACCGTACAAAAAGGGTTATTTCATGTGACTTTAAGACATCATGATTTGCCTTCCAGCTGTGGCGGATAAGCTTGTAGCAAACCAGCTCTCTTGCTGAGAACAATTAGAAAATCTTGGTAAAATTTAGCAGAAAGAAATTGTTGGGGAGGCACTGGAGAGTGACCGAGGGACCAGAACTCGGGGCCAAGATTTCAGGGCCAAAGGTCACCCAGAAAAGTGACCCCGACCTGCCCTCCCCACAGAAGTGTTTGCTAATCCTTGGGTAGCACTGGGCATCCAGGCAGAGCAGCCTCGGGGGCTGAACAGGCAAGAGCGAGCGGGACCTGCCAAGGGGGAACTGCCGGCAAGGCCCTGGACTTTCATCTGGGACCCAAATCTGATCACACCCACGGCTGCAGGCGCCTGCCACACCTGGCCTGCATCCCAGCAGCGGAAGCGAGTCATTCCTGGTCTCTAACTCACACTCACGGTCTCTAACTCTCTGTACTTTTCATACTTAATGTCCGTCATTCAACAGAAATCTACAGACAGACCAGAGGACAAGGCTAAATGATGGAGAACCGAGAGGGTGCTCTAGAGGCAGACCCTGGCACCCCAGGTTTCCTCTCTTATGCTCTCGGCTTTGTGACGACGCAGGGCCTGTGGGTTTGCTGCGTTGACTGACCCACAGACTCCTTGGTTCACTGACCTTCCTGAGGATCCGAGTTACTGCTCAGGACAGCACTGTCCAGTGATGGGGACACCACCTGACAGGACCATCCTGTCAGGTCGACGCAGATCGTCTGAGGGCTGCGCTTTTGTTCCCTTTTGCTAAACACAGAAGGCTCATCCCCTCGTTTTCTTTGAATCTCAGAATAAACTGAACGTGTATCTGAAATCAAAGTAGATGTGGAGACGCTGCCCTGTGCCTGTCCGTGCACTGAGGGCGTCATGCCGTTCACCTCCAGGTGGCTCATTAGATCTCAGAAGGACACGAAGAGGGATGAAGTCTGTGTGGGACCTGTAGGAGCCTCCCTGTACCAGGCCCAAATGGCAGCCCCCAGCCCCAGTTCCCCTTTGTAATGGCATGACCTGGCGACCTCTCGTCCTCCCACCTCATTTTGCGAGTGAGATGTCGTGGGGCCGAGGGGTGTGCGTGGGGGCAGGATCTCAGAGCACAGGGCTCCGGTCGGTGCACCGTGCCCCCAGGCCCAGGCCTCTCGTGGAGAAACAGCCTCAGAGGTGCCTGGCTTTGGAGAGGGTGATGGGACTTATTTGCAGACGTGGACTTTATTTGCTGTATTTTCCCTCCAACGTAAAGAATCTGATAGAGTCTGTGTTCGTTTCTGAATTAAAGTGAAAGTCTGTGGGCTTCCTGGAGGGGCTGGAAGCAGCCGTGGCACCAGGATGAGAGCTTGCAGCTGAATAGACTGACTACCGCCATCTTTGTGTGTGTTGCGCCCTTTCCAGGGTTGCTGGTCAACCTCTCCCTCATCCCAGTCATGGCAGGCCTGGCGCTGTGCACGGCGACCGAGATAAGCTTCAACGTTCTGGGATTTTCGGCTGCATTGTCCACCAACATCATGGACTGGTGAGTTGCGAAAAGCGTGGGACACACATGGTATGCTCGAGAAATAGCACTCGCTTCCCGTCATCTTGATGGATCTTTAAGTCCCGGTTAACTCAGAATTACTTCCCATAATTCAAAGCTGGGTACATCTGATGCTGCCTCTTCCTAGATAGCAAAACTGTAAGTACCCCAATAAGGTCACTTTTTCTCAAAACCCAAGCCAGAATTTGATGATACATGGTCTTGATACTTAAAAACACTGATCGTAGGGATACGGATAGCTAATAAATGCTGAAATGCACAGAGTAAACGAGGCTCTACTCACATATGTAAATATGTGCATTCAAGCTAAATAAAACAGAAAAGGCCGTCTTAGAGCTGGAACAAGGGGCAGCTCCTGGAGTGGTGGCCGGGAGCCCCCAGTTGCTCTGGCGGCTCCTCTCCTGCCTAGTGGCCTGTCTGTGTCCTGCATCACCCTGCAGAGAGGACAGTGAGGGCCCGGACTCGTGTGGGGTGAGGTGCTGGAAGAGGAGCGCGGGAATGCTCCTTGTCCTGCAGCGAGAGGGAGGGCAGTGTCCTGTTCCGGGTGTTCAGGTTAGTCTGGGACGGGTCCTCTTGCACACGCTGTGTTGTTGGAGGCCGCACTCCCACCCCACCAAGACCTGTTCTTTCAGATTGACCAATCGCTTCTAGGTCTCCTGTTTCTGAGAAGAGAGGAGACAACAGCACGGGTGTCCAAGAGTTATCGCTGTTGTCACTGCTAAGGTAGAGCAGGCCCATCTTGAGGTTCTGAATAACACAGCTAAGTGACAGCAAATGTCATGTTTAATTTCATTCCTGATGTACGACGGATCTCGTTCCGCCTTTTCGCTCTGCGTCTGTAGCTCCTGGAAACATGGAGCAGTGAGACCCCACGTGCAGTCTGCATCTCATTCTCTTGACTCCATGTTATCTCACAAGCATCGCTTCCCGGCGCTGGCTGTTCTCCAGGAGCCAGAGCTCTGTGACCGCCTCCTGCTTCACCTGGCAGATGATCTGCGAGTTAAGGATTCTTTTGTTTAAATCTGCAGGGAACTTTTTTGACATGAGTCTCTCTCTGAATTTCTCACTGTCCTGCAGTGAAATTCCTAGGAGGGAGGTGGAGCCAGTGAACTTCTCTGAAAGGCTCCTGGTCCGTGCTCTTGGTGTTTCTGAAACAGTTGTTCAGGTTTATGGTTTCGTCGAGAGAGCTTCTGTCTGACCTCGTCCTCGACTAAATTTTTTCATTAAAACCAAACAAACCCCTGCTTCTGGAGTCCAGAGAGCAGAGTTATTGGTTAAGTGCCAGTCCATGTGTCCTGAGGAAGCTGGACGCTGTTCAGTTTTATCCTTGCCTTGTGTTCTCCATGGCCTGTCTGTCCCATTCAGGAGTTTTGTCCATGTTTTCCTACTGGGGTCTTCGTGTGCTTAGTTTCATTCCCCTGCTCCACACATAGGGTCCTGGGTGCCCAGCCGATGGTAGTTGCTGATTTATGGGAACTCTTGGTTCAGAGTGGCGTTTTGTGCAGCACTTAGAGCAGGGACTCTGGGATCCTCTGACACCTAAGAGCTGGGCAACCTCAGGCCTGTTGCTCAACCTCTGACTGCCTCAGTTTACCCATCTGTAAAAGGGGGGCAGGCATGGTGCCCCCTCGTCGTAGAGTGATGCCTGGGAAATGCCTGGTGTGGGCTGTTCACAACAGACATCCAGTGGCCGGCCCGGGGTGCTGCCAATGTGGTTTGGGAGCATTGGAAGCGCTCCGTCCATTTGCGGTTCCACACTAACTTCTGTGTTGACCGGTAACCTCTTCTTTTCTTTTTTCTAGTTTGCAAAATGTTTTTTCAAAAAAGCTCCTGAGCGGGGACAAATACAGGTTCTCGTAAGTATCATTAACAAGTGTAATCTCCAATTTCCTAGGCCCAAGAGGACCCCTCCCCGTGGGAAGATGCAAATGCCCTGTAGACCTGACACCTTTCCCATCTTGGCATAGGTGGCCTTTAAAATACCTTGTTGAAACTTGGAATTAAAAAACCCGCCTGTTTTGAGCTGCCCTACTGAGGCACCTGAGCGACCAGCCCGTCTCTGTCTGCTTTTAACTTCCACTAGCATGGATGTTGGCTGTCACACCAGCCCTCTCTCCTCACGGGAGAAGGTGAACCCCAGTGCCTTGGGCGCCCTGGAGGGCTCTTGCTGTGGAGTGTGTAGGAGGCCACCCCCGCCCCCGTGTGGAGAGAGGGCCAGGCGCCACTTTCTCGCCCTGCAGGGCTGCCGAGCTGCAGTTCTACACTAGCGCCGCCGCCGTGGCCATGCTGGTCCCAGCCTGGATCTTCTTCATGGTGAGTCTCGGGCACGGACGCTCCTTGCTGCCTGGGTTGCCGTTGATCTTCAGTGATTCAGGGGCAGAGTGATTTAACTCTCCAGGTGCTGTGCTCACTCAGTGTGTTGTGGCTTTGCTGGATGGTTCACAGAGAGTGAGCGATGTGCCTCTGAGGAGAAGGGAGAGAAAGTGGAAGCCAAACCTCGCCTGGGTCTCTGATGCGCCGACCTGCCTGCCGAGGCCAATCAGCAGCTGTGGGAGTTTCCTGAAAATTTTGTGGGGGGGGTTTAGGCTTGCTTATTTATTATTATTATTTTAAACTAACATGCCTACTTTAGAACAATCAATAGGGCAGGAGTATGTAGAACAAGAGAGAAGGTCTGCCTCTCAGCCCTTCTGGAGGGGCCCTTTCCAGACTCGTCTGCGTGGCTGGAAACGCTCACACCTACAGTCACGTAAAGGCATGACGACGTTGCGGTCGACAACAGGCCGCACGTACATCGGCGGTCCCACAGTTTCAGTGCCGCAGAGCCCAGCTGTGCAGGAGGCTCTGCCACCTGGGTCTGTGTAAGTTCGCTCTGATGTTCACACAAGGATGACGTCACCTAATGACCCATTTCTCAAAATGTGTCCCAGTCATTAAATGACATGTGGCTGTACATAGTGGTAGTGTGTAATGAGAGCCCATTAGTCGTATGAAAGCCTCTGTATGTATCTGTGCACACCTTTCTTTAACACAAATGGAGCTGGGCTACCCCGTCTGTAACCGTGCTCCTGGTGTGGCTTTGCGCTAACCCAGCACTGCCGCCTGGACAGACACTGGGCTGCCTGGTGCTTTTTACTGTTGCCTACACATAACAGGGAGCTTCTTGTGGCATATCTTTAGCAGATGAGGGTGTTTCTCTGAACACATCCTTGAAATTGGACTGGTTGATTGATAGAATATGCACATCTAAAATTATTGTTTATTGTGGTAAAATATACATGACATAGAATTTACCATTTTAACCATTTCTTAAGTGTACGTCAAGTATGTTCACCTTGTCGTTCAACCATTACCACCATCCATCACCGGAACTTACTCAGCATCTCAAACGGGAACTGTCCCCGTTTGACACCAGCTCCTCATTCCACCTGTAGGGGAGACAAGGCTTTACCTCTCCCCTCCTGGGGTCTCCAGCGGGGCCTGAGAATTACACTGACATAAGACAGAGTCACAAGAGAAAAGCACACAGATTTATTTAGTATAAGCTTTGTGTGACACGGGAGCCCTTGTGAGGAAGCAGAGACCCCAGGAAGCGGCAAGGCCTGAGCATTTGCCTGTGTGGTTGAGCAACGACACCTGTGGAAAAGTGGCTGAACTGTGTGGGGAGGCTGCCGAAGATGGCGGGGTGGGGCCGGGGGCAGGTTTAACAAGGTTTGTGCACAGAATTCTCGCAGCCTGGCTCCCGTCCTTGAGGATGTGACTGTTTCCTCCTGTACTGGGAGGGTGTCTTCCTCTCCTGCTTCTTGGAAGAAAAAGGGAGGCCAGAGCATCCTTCTTGCACCTGCTGTTTTCTAAGTGTCCTTAGCTCAAAATAATCCTTATGCCAAAGAGGCATGTTGGGGGGAGGTGTGTTCTGAACTCCTTCACCACCCCCCCAGCCCCTGCACCCATCATCCTACTTTCTGCCTCTGTGAACTTGATGACTCTAGGGACCTCATGTAAGTGGAGTAGCACAGTATTTGTCTTTTTGTGACTGGCTTATTTCACTTATCATATGCTCAAGGTTCACCCATGTTGTAGCACGTGTCAGAATCTCCTTCCCTCACAGCAAAAGAAACCATCAACAAAACGAAAAGATAACCTAACAATTGGGAGAAGATATTTGCAAATCATATATCTGATAAGGGGTTAATATCCAAAATACATAAAGAACTCATACATCTCAAGAACAAAAAAAACCAACAACCCAATTAAAAAATGGGCAAAAGATCTGAACAGACATTTTTCCAGAGAAGATACACAGATGGCCAACAGGCACATGAAAAGATCTTCAACATCACTAATTATCAAGGAAATGCAAATCAAAACCACAATGAGATATCACCTCGCTCAGGTCAGAATGGTTATAATTAACAAGACAGGAAGCAACAAGTGTTGGAGAGGATGAGGTGAAAAGGGAACCCTCATACACTGCTGGTGGGAATGCAAACTGGTGCAGCCACTATGGAAACCAGTATGGAGACTCCTCAAAAAATTAGGAATAGAAATACCACATGATCCAGCTATCCCACTGCTGGGTATTTATCCAAAGAACATGAAAACACAAACGCATAAGGATACTTGTACCCCTATGTTCATTGCAGGATTATTCACAATAGGAAGCAACCTGGGTGCCCATCAAGAGATGAATGGATAAAGAAGATGTGGTATATATACACAATGGGATACTACTCAGCCATAAGAAATGATGAAATCCAGCCGTTTGTGACGACATGATGGACCTTGAGGGTGTTGTGCTAAGCGAATTAAGTCAGAGGGAGAAAGTCAAATGCCATATGATCGTGCTCATCAACAGAAGATACAGACAATGACAACAAACACATACATAGAGACAGAGATTAGACTGGTGGTTACCGGGGGGAGGGTGAAGTGGGTGACTGGGCACATGTGTGTGGTGAGGGATGGTAATTAGTCTTTGGGCGGTGAACATGATGTTGTCTACACAGAAATCGAAATATGATGTGCACCTGAAATTTATATAGTTATAAACCAATGTTATCTCAATTTAAAAAAAAGGAATTTCCTTTCTTTTTTAGGCTAATATTCCTTTGTCTGGATAGACCACATTATGTTTATCCATTCGTCCTTTGAGGGACACGGGTTATATCCACCTCTTAGCTATTGTGAATAATGCTGCTATGAACATGAGTGTGCAAGTGTTTCTTTGAGACCCTGTTTTCAGTTTGTTTGGGTGTAAACCCAGAAGCAGATCTGCTGGATCATATGGTAATTCTGTGTTTTAGAGGAGCGACTAGACTGTTTTCCATAGTCGCTGCACCATTTTATATTCCCACCAACAGTGTACAAAGGTTCTAATTCTCCACATCATTGCCGGCACTTGTTACTTTCTGTTTGTGGTTTTTTTTTTTTAACAGTAGCCATCCTCATGGATGTGAGGTGGTAGCTCATAGTGTTGATTCGCGTTTCCCTGATGGTTAGCGATGTTAGGCATCTCTTCGTGTGCTTGTTGGCCACATGTATGTCTTATCGGCATGTGTATGCACATGTTTAAAATTTTGATAAATGCTGTTCAGTTGCCACCCTAGAAGGCTATTTCCAGAGCTGTCTTCAGCATCAGCTCGTTTACCCAGAGGACTGGGTCACACGCTGTCTTTCCGTGGATGATTGATAAATGGAGGAGGGGCCCCCACAGAGCGTCTTTGTTTTTTTCTGCTTTTTTTTTGATGAGGAAGATTGACGCTGAGCTAACATCTTTGCCAATCTTCCTCTATTTTGTATGTGAGATGCTGCCTCAGCATGGCTTGATGAGCAGTGTGTGTGGGTCCACACCCAGGATCCAAACCGGCGAAGCCTGGGCTGCCGAAGCGGAGTACGTGAACTTAACCACTGTGCCACCAGGCCAGCCCCAGAGCATCATTTTTGTTCTGGCACATAGGACCTGCCTGTGATTGGGAGGAGCGGGAAGAGCTTCAGTTACAACCAGGATGTCGTGCTGCTGCTGCTGACGGACGGCGTGCTGTTCCACCTGCAGAGCGTCACGGCCTACGCCCTCATGGGGAAGATTTCCCCTGTGACTTTCAGGTAAGCTTGGTAACTTCCAAAGAGACAACAGTATCCAGGTTATTTGCAGAGGAGAACACTTGAAATCTAGATGTTTTCGTAAAAGATATTTGTTACTACAAAATGCTGTAGTAACAGCTGTGGCCACATATCATAGTTACTAGGCCGTTTTGTATTGGTGCTGTTTGAAATACAAATAGTAAAGCGTGTGAAATGGATTTTTAGGGAAATCACCTTAGAAATCTTTACATTACAATAGAAATTGTTTGGAATGGTTTGAGTATTTTTCTGTCTAGTCCAGCACCGTCAATGGAATTGCCTGCAGTGATGGAATGTTCCATTTCTGCGCTGTCCAGGTTGGGACCATGGGCCACGTGTGGCTACTGAACACCTGAAATGTGCTGAGCACAAGGAGGAACTGAATTCTCAATTTTATATAATTTTAATCACTTTAAATTTGAATAGCCACGTGTGGCCAATTGGCTCCGATGTTGGATGGCGCAGCTCTGGGAATTTAGAGGTGAGCTAAACATCTCATTAGCTTCTTTTCACTTCTATAACTGGACAAATTTAATGAAAGTACAATTTAGACTGGAGAGTTTCCGGTAACAAATAGGAAGGAACGTGCCAATGTCCCCAGCGGGCCTGGAAATCCATGCACTGATGTCGGCAGCTTTGCCACATCACACTGTTATGTAAGTCAGTGGTCCTTTTTTCTTTTACTCCTGAATTGTCACCAGAGAAGTGGAATTGTCCCTAAATGTGTTTGAATCTTGCTACACTTAAGCCTCATTGAGCCGCACCTGCAGCAGTCCCGGTTTCCCTGGGTGTACACACTCGGGGCCACTCTCTGGAATAGCCCCGATCCTCTCTCTGCTCATTTTCATCTGGCCCAAGTCAGGACAGTAAATACTCAGACGTCCACCTGAGCCCAGCAGCTGTGCAGTGCATGAGCCACATGCTGCAGCTCAGAAGTCCAGGAGCCAAACCCGCCCGTGCGGGCTCCACAGGCGCTGTGCCGTGACTGGACCACTGCCGTCTGGCCCTCACATTTCCTGGGTCCTGCATGGCAGGTGTCTGCAGGAATGTTGCAAACAGTCATGATTTCTCAGTTCTTCTGAAGCTCATAGTGGTCACTGTCCCTGTCACCCATTCTTGTTTCTGTTTGGGGCCAGGAATTATCTCCAAATATTTCTGAAACTTCATTTTTCAATGATCATTAGTGATGGTTCAAAAAAAGACAACAGAAAGCCGATTTTTTTTTAAGAAAATAGCTTTTTTGTTGTTTTATTCATTTTAGAAAGTTTGGAAAAGGCAGAAAAGTACAGAAAATAAAGTTAAATTATCCACAATCCCAACCCGAGAGACAACGCTGTTAATGTTTTGGTGTATTTCGTATCGCTTTATTTTGACAAAGTCCAGCGTTCTCTGTGCGGCACTGTTACCTGACAAACGGGCTCTCTCAGGTGCTGTAAAGGGATCACAGGTGTGTGGGAAGCTTTCTCATTCTTCAGAGAGCAAGCACAAGGATTTGGGGTAAAATGTCTTAACGTCTATAATTTACTTTAAGATATTTCAGTCAAAAAAAAGGATAAAGCAAATAAAGCAAAATGTTAGTTATTAAGTCTAGAGGATGGGAGTTTGTTCATTATAACATTTCCCTACTTCTCTGTTCAATGCTTTTCCTCATAAAAAGTACCCCCAAAAAAGAAAGGAAAAGGAGCTGGCAAGGGAGTGAGCCCTCACAAGCTCCCCCCGCCCTGCCCTATGCACTCAGCTGCCGTGGAGCCAGCAGCAGCGCTGCCATTCACTTGGCGTTGGCGGGCCACGGCCTGGGCGCAGGCCTGAGTCCAGGCTATAACTTTCCTCTCTGCTCTTCTCTGTCCTTGCAGTGTCGCCAGCACCGTGAAGCATGCCTTGTCCATTTGGCTCAGTATTATAGTTTTTGGCAACAGAGTCACCAGCCTGTCGGCCATTGGCACCGTCCTGGTGATGGTCGGCGTCCTGCTCTACAATAAGGCCAAGCAGCACCAGCGGGAGGCCATGCAGAGCCTGGCCGCAGCCACCAGCAAGACACCAGAGGACGACGTGGAGCCGCTGGTCCCCAAGGACCCCAGACCACACCACTGAGCTCCAGAAGCCTCGGCGGGCACCCAGGGCCCCGAGACGCTGCCTGTGGCTGCTCTCCTCCACGCCAACATGGGTCCCCTGTGCTCCTCCTGCTCCCTGGAAACCAGGCTTGGGGACACCCAGCCTCCACAAGTCACAGTTGGGGCACAGGAAACTGGGGACCTACAGCCTTTCCTGCCTTTCTGGGGTTTTCAGTCAAAACCGACAGGAACTCAGTTTGAGAATCCCAGATATCAGCTCCTGGGGACAGAGACCAGAGCCAGCTGCCACTGAGCCATCACCAAGTAATGTGAAAACCCCCCCATTGACCCCCTGCTGAGTGCATGGGAGGGGTTGGGACCCAGGCAAGCCTCTGCATGTCCCTCACCAGGCACGCAGTTCCAGCTGCAGTGAGGCCAGGCACACATTCCTCTGCGAGGGACAACTGTGAAGCCAGAGCCGGGTCCAGGTACCAACGCACACTGCTCCCTGCTCAGTGTCAGCAGAGGAAACCCAGCTTCCCCACGCCAGCCATCAATGGCCACTCTGCTCCTCAGCCATCTGGGGAGACCGCAGTGCTAGGACAGAAGGCCAGATTGCCCAGTACCTGGGCACAGAGGTCACAGCAGCCTGAGAGACCACTGAGCCGGGCAGAGTGGAGAGGAGACAGACAGGGTGCAGAAACAAGGGTCCCCTGCTGCTGAGGGTGGGGTGTTGGGCCCTTGCCTTCTCCCCCTTCCACCTGGAGCGTCCTCTCCCACCCCAGAGCTGCCAGCATCTGGTACCACTTAAAGCAAGGTCCCTCATGGAGGGGAGGGGTGCCCCAGCCCCTCTCAGAGTCTGCTGCACTAAGGCTCCTGCCTCCCAAGGGTCCTGCTCCTCGGGCTCCAGCCAGTGACCCCTGAAGTGGTGATTTCCGGCCCTGGAGGTTGAGGACGGACATCGGTGGTGGTTAACTTGGGGCAGGGAGATGCTCATGTTCCTGTTCTGGGCTCGTGTGTGTAACGGACTGTGCTGAGGGCTTGGCACAGCTGCCCTCACTTGGCTGGGCAGGAGCTGAGCCTTAACTGTGTCATCGAGGAGGATGTTAAGATTTTCCTTGTGAATGGATGAGCAGGGGGAGCGGCGGGAAGAATGTCTGCAGTGTTTTCAGTTTTCATTATGCTGCACTTAAAATGACAGAATAGTTTTTTAAAAAGGAAGCACAGGCCCAGATGCTTCTGGGATGCATCATGTTTGTTGGGTAAACCCCACTCTGAACCACAGCCCGGCCTGCCTGGCTCTCCTCTCCCAGAGCCTGTGTTGGGTTGAGGCTCCTAACCTCTTCGCTTTATTCCTCATCTTGCCTCCTGGTGGGATTTCTGATCAAGGCAGGTCTGTTGCCAGCCAGTGCTTGAGGCCCTCCCCATCTTGCCAAGCTTGAGTTCTGGGGCTTGTCAAATGCAGCCTGACTTAGTGGGCACGCTCTGGCCACCTGGCCATCTGAAGCCTGCCTTCTGGGACTGAGTGAATTAACTGAGGAAAGGAATTTAAGGCACTAATTGTTCCCTAAGTCTCATTTCCCCTCCCTGCTGTTCAGGTCCTTGGCTCCCATAATTGGTTCACTGGTTTTCTAGTTGGCTTCTCAACTCGAAAATATAAAAACAGCCCCTCCTGGAGATCAAATCTCTTGGTAACAAAGAGCAATAATTACATCTCATTAAGTTCTACCTACCTGAAAAAGTTTGCCGTGATCATGGATTAAAATGAGGCCTTTTAAACTACAACCTTTTCACGAAGCTGAGCTGCATCCAGAGGACAGGCAGGTGTGTGCTCCCCTGCACAGCCAGTTCACCTTCACCGTGAAGATGTTTCTCGTGTGGCTTCCCTAGGTTTCCAGCCCTACCCCTCTCCTCCTGCTTCCCCACCAAACAAAACTAAAGAGGATTCCCTGGAGGGGGTGCGGGTGGGATGTTGCATTGAACTGTGAGGACCAGAGGAAGGCACCACTTCCATGGGGCTCCTGCCTCCGCCCTCAAGAATGGGGCTGCTACGCCAGCTGCTTGCGAGTGGGATGTGAACAGAGAAGGGGACCCATCTTTGGTCACCCCGTTGCAGGATTTTGACATTGGCCTTCTCGCAGACTTTGTCATCTGAGTGTAATGAGATACACAGGCACCTGCTTCCAAGTATTGTTAGGGGTTTCCAGTCCATGTCTCGAGTGGAACTACAAAGCTGCGCGTCATGGCGTGCCCCTCCCTCCACCCCCACAAGTGGCTTCAGCCTGTTTTAGTTTTCTAAATTTTGGACCAGAAACAAAACGAAGATTTTCCTAAATTATTAGTAAATGAGGCAATTTCCTGCAGAGCTGCTTTTGAGACTTTCCTTGTCCTGGGTGGGAAAAGCACCCAGGGACGTGCTGTGGCCGGCCCCGCCCTCACTCCGGCTTACGTTCCTTCCATCCTTTATCAGTCTCGTCTCCACTCCACGTCGTCGCCCACTGGGCATTTCCAGGACAGCTCCATGTGAGGAGTCCAAACCCGCAGCCTGGTTTGTTAATGACTGCACAGACATGTTTTTTTAATTAACTTTGTCTAGTAGTGTTTATAGTATGTTCTTGTTGAACTGCCACAGACGTGTTGGACCACCATGGACAATGAGTGTGGCTATACTGGGTCAGTTCCTCCCGTGTCCATGGTCGCTGTCCATGCCTCTGTAAACACACACTTGAACCAGTCTTCCGAGACAGCTCTCTGTTTGCTTACGTCGATACTTAGAGATGTACAGGTCTCTGGCTTTCAAGGAAACTTCCACTACTGAATGGCATAAAAAGCTTTTTTTTTTTTTTTTTAAAGATTGGCACCTGAGCTAACAACTGTTACCGATCTTTTTTTTTTTTCTGCTTTTTCTCCCCAAAGCCCCCCAGTATACAGTTGTATATTTTAGTTGCGGGTCCTTCTAGTTGTGGCATGTGACATGCCACCTCAGCATGGCCTGATGAGTGGTGCCATGTCTGCGCCCAGGATCCAAACTGGTGAAACCGTGGGCCACTGAAGCAGAGCGTGTGAACCCAACCACTTGGCCACGGGGCTGGCCCCCAAAAGCTTTTTTTTTAAAAAAACATTCCGATAGTCATAATTTCCTGCATATCAGCATTAAAATAATCTGCCTTGGAAAGCTCAGAATACTCTTGCACAATCCAAAATATGTCTTTAATTTGAGAAAAATAAACATGGTGAATCAGAAACAGTAAAAAAATGCTGCATAAAGCACATCAGCCAAATGGAGCTGTGCTTGTGGCCTGCATTGGAACGACTGTTCCCAAACCAGTGGGTTTTGCTTCCTTTTTGTGGCACTCTCCTGAGTCTGGTCACTTAGAGGGGCTGTGGGGGTGAAAGGTGCCCAGCACAGCTTTTTACATCTGTCCGCGTGATGTGCTTCCTGAGACCTGAAAGCGTTTTCACTGTTTCCCTGGGTTGGGAAAATTAAACAAGGATGTCACTACAGATACAAATCCTCTCCTCTGCTTTGCCTTTGACCAGTGTTGTACTAAGGGCTAAAATGTGTACATGCCCTGGTGAGGGCCTCTTCATTTTCCTAGTTCATAAAGAAGAACATCCCAGCACCCCCAGGGACTCTGCCTGTCCTCTCGGTTGGCTAGGGAGCCAAGAGCAGAGTCATGAGCTCGTGCTGACCGCGGGTCAGCTGCTCACCTGCAGCTCAAGGCGTAAAAGCCTTCAACTTTGCTGTCTCTGAAGTATTTCTTCCAGTTTTCCTGAGGGCTCTGATTCAGAGTTTGATGGCCACTGGATTTATGCCCAGATGTCCAAACTGAGTTTGAAACTATTCTAACTGGCAAAGTCTGTTCGTCTGTTTTTTTCATTCAGCTGACTTGCTCTTTCTAGGCGGTTTGAGATGTGTGAGCGGAGTCTGAACCGGCCGGGGGTGCGTCATGGGCTCCACATTGAGGAGGGCCACAGGCAGGGCGACTTTCCCACCCTGAAAACTTGAAAATAGTTATCAATAATTATCGATGTCAGAGCCAAATTATATTTGCTTTATACCAAACAAAACTGTGGAGAATGAAGTACCTTATACAGAATGTTTATAGTGTTTTGTATTTCAGTATTTATGTGACGAGATCAGTACTTTCTAGAAAATGCTTCTGTTAAACAACTTAGTGAGTCACTGTTAATTTTGCTATCTAATAAATTGATGCTGTACAGCTAATCCTGTGGATGTCTTCTGGTTACTTTTGCCTGAATTAAGCCACCATGGTAGCAACTCTATGTGGCTCTTGTTCTGCAAAAGCAAAATAAATTTTAAACGTTTCCTCCTTTGTTTTCTTCATTGTGTGACTCGTGTTTATGCTACTGGAATGGTAGTTTCTTAGCGCCTTTGCCAGTTTTCAGCATGAAGTGAGTAAAAGAGTGAAGGCCTGGGGACTGGCGGGTGAAGTAGCGTTTACATTCGTGTGCTTTGCTGCCGCGGTTCGGGTTCAGATCCCGGCACCGACAGACACCGGTCATCAAGCTGCGCTGTGGCCGCGTCCCTCATACAAAACAGGAGGATTACACAGATGTCGCCCAGCAACAGTCCTCCTCAGCAAAAAAATGAATGAATAAAAAACGAAGGCTTTCCGTCCCAAGAACTCAGGAAGCAAAGGACGAGCTTGGATATAGAAAGTGAACATTTCATTCTGGAAGGAAAAAAATTCCAATTCACTCCCTTTTAGCGCCTAATTTCTTGTCACAGGTTGCATCCCCATTTCAGGTGCAGTAACTGCGAGCGGATGCCCGTCTTCGTTCTCCCTGAGACCCAGGGGCTGGCTCTCATTTTTCCGGGAGCATCGGAAACCACACGGGCCCGCAGAGTAACCGAGGCGGGGAGGGGCTTCTCACTCCTCCGGCCTCGGGGGTCTGGGGCGGGACCCAGCCTTCGCGGGCGAGCGCGGGGGCCGCCGCCTGCAAAGCCCGCCGAGGGCGCACCTGCTGCGTCCGCGGGAGGCGGGGCGAGCGCGGCTCCGACACGCAGGACCTCGTCCCACAGTGGAGTCGACCAGAGCGTCCGCGGGGTCCCCTGCGGCGTTTCCGGTCGCCGGCGAGCACAGGCCCCCGGAGCGACGCCCCGCGGCCACTGGGGGAATGGGGGGAGAGCGGCGCGGCGGGGCCGGGGAAGAAAGGCGCTTGCGCCAAGCGCGGCAGACACCCGGCGCCCCGGGCGCCCCGCTCGGAAGTCGCCCTATTCCGGCACCCGCGTTTTCGTCATCGGACTGCGTCCAGGCCGGAAGTGGCGCACAAGGCGCGCACCGGACACTATTTCTTCTCGGGTCCGGAACCGGCGGCAGGGCCCGCCCTCGAGCGTCATCGATCTGCGACGACGCAGGAAGTGACGACGCTCCTGCCGCGCGCCGGGAGCTGTTTTTCCTCAGGCTCGGGGACCGGCAGCGGCGGCGGCGGCGGCGGCGGCGGCGGCGGCGCAGGGGTGAGTGGCGGCGGGGCTGGCGGGGGGCGCGGCCGGCTCGCCCGACCTTTCGGATCTGGGCGGGCCTCGGAGCGAGGGCCGTGGCGGCCGACACTGCCCGCTCCCTCGTCCCGTCTCGACCCGCGGGGAACTTGGGGTCGAGGAGGCGGCGGGCCCAGGCGCTCCCCAAGCCCGCCCCTACCGGGCCCACCCCGGCTCAGCGCGCCTGAGCCCCCGGCCTCGGAGCCCCGCGCCCGGGCCTGGTCTGCGGGCGCGCCGTCTCGGAGCGGTCCCGGTGCCCGCTGTGAGGCGGCGCCGTCGGGCGGGCGGGGGCGGGCGGCCTCTGGGGTCAGTTCTCTGCGGGCGAGGCCGGTGCGAGGTGGCCGCCGTGCTGGGCCGGGGGCCGCGCGCGGTGGTCTCGTTCAGCCCGAACGGCGTGCCTACGCAGGTGGGGTTCCCCCGTCGACGGGCGGTAAACTGAGGCGCAGCGAGCCGCCCAGGACGGCGCGGGCCCGGCGGGGAGGAGGTCGGGGTCCCGACGCCCCTGGAGTCCCGTGTCTGTTTGCAGCGTTTTGACTCAAATGGGTGATGAAAAGGACTCTTGGAAAGTGAAGACTTTAGATGAAATTCTTCAGGAAAAGAAACGCCGGAAGGAACAGGAGGAGAAGGCAGAGATCAAACGCTTAAAAAACGTAAGCCGCGGTTTTGAGTGAGTGGTTTTCCTGGAGGGTTTTCGTTCCTTGGCCTCGCGTCTGCGTCGGTCCGGCGGGAAAGGAACAGAAACGTTGACGCTCGTCCGCGCCGAGGGCCGACCAGACGGCGCCCGGCCGCGTGTGGGTGCCGGGGCTGCGCGGGCGCGGAGCGGTTTGGACCGAGTCGTCGGTGCGCCGGGCTGAGCTTCCCCGCCCCGTCTGTGGTTTCGGGACGGCGTGTCCGGTGTTTTCAGGACAGGAGCCGCCCGAGAGCAGCGGGCACGCTGGGCGTCCGCTCCCGGCCTGTAATGACGCGCTCCAGGACTCCGGGACTCCCGGGCGCGGGCTCCCACCGCTCAGCTGTGGGCCCCCCAGCGCCTGAGTGCCGTGTGGGCGGCCCAGAGCGTGCGTGTGCCCCGGCGCTCGGGCTCAGTGTAGACGCCTGACACACCCGGCCTAGAGAGCGTGGGCTCAGTGTAGACGCCTGACACACCCGGCCTAGAGAGCGTGGGCTCAGTGTAGACGCTTGACACTCCTGGCATAGAGAGCGTGGGCTCAGTGTAGACGCCTGACACACCCGGCCTAGAGAGTGTGGGCTCAGTGTAGACGCTTGACAGTCCTGACATAGAGAGCGTGGGCTCAGTGTAGACGCCTGACACACCCGGCCTAGAGAGCGTGGGCTCAGTGTAGACGCCTGACACACCCGGCCTAGAGAGCGTGGGCTCAGTGTAGACGCCTGACACACCCGGCCTAGAGAGCGTGGGCTCAGTGTAGACGCCTGACACACCCGGCCTAGAGAGCGTGGGCTCAGTGTAGACGCCTGACACACCCGGCCTAGAGAGCGTGGGCTCAGTGTAGACGCCTGACACACCCGGCCTAGAGAGCGTGGGCTCAGTGTAGACACCTGACACACCTGGCGCAGAGCGGATGCCCCTTCTCTCACGTGCTGGTTTCACATTCTCATCTCCGGTTCTCAGCTGGTTTTCTGTTGTAGTTTTAACGTCCCGGGCTTGGAGCGAAGGCTTTTTTATTATAATGTTGTCCGTTCAAAGTGCGAATGAAAGTTTGTTTTTGGATGTCAGCAAGGTTTATCATTAAAAGTGCACTTGTCTATGAGAAAAATGACTTGTTTTCTCCTTACTTCTTAGTCTGATGACCGGGATTCCAAGCGAGATTCCCTTGAGGAGGGGGAGCTGAGGGACCACCGCATGGAGATAACGATCAGGAACTCCCCGTACAGAAGAGAGGACTCCATGGAGGACAGGTGCGTGCAGGCGCTTCTCTGAGGCACGGGGCCTTTCTGGTGCTGCTCTGAAAGCTATGGTCATGACGTCAGGTTCCCCTCCCACTGGAGGAGACGCTCACATGGGGTCAGCTGTCACCTCACTCCTTATGGAGAGACCGAACGAGCCGTTATTCCTTTCTCTGTGCTTACTCTCGGGTCGAGTCAGCAATGTTTCCACAGTACGTTTACGTAATCGTGCTGTGTACTTGTAATGCTTAGTAAGCGACTGTCCAAAGTTTTGGGCAAATAAACCAAAACAGGGCTGAGAGATGCCTGAGCCAGGCCTTTGAGCAGAAGTGGTCCAACTGAGGTCTGTCCTTTCTGACGTTTCTTCCTGCGCCAGGGTGTCTCCTCGCTTGTTGCATTCTTGTATCCAGCATCAAATAATTAAAGGCAGCATAGCCAGGAATTAAGGTAGAAGGTG